GCGCTGTTTCCACTTAGAGCAGGAGGGCTCCAAGACACCGGCAGTGACCAAACCAGAAATTGTTTCTGCAATCCCAGCCTCAGCCTCCGGTCTGTGTGGGTACTGAGGCTGCCACAAAGGGGTAGCAGATGACAGTTGAAAAGAGACTGGCCCCACATCAACTAAACCTACATCTGTGGGTCCAAGTGACCACAAACAATCTGGAAGAGAGTCCAGTAAAGCCGCAGCATCACAGTGGTCTGTGTGTTCTCTTCCATGTGACCTGCTGACCACTTCATGTTGCAGTGTTGAGGAATTAAAGCAATCATTTAAAATTTGGTATGTCTTGGTAGATGGAGAAAACAAAACCTGTGGGAGTTTTGTAGGTGTCCAGTCAGTGGCCGCAAGGGAACGTTTAACCATTCCACCCAGCTCCTTAGCCTGGTGTCCAGGATGTAAGGCCAGTGACACATGGGGAGCTGCCTCATCAGACATCATGTACCACTGTAATTGATCTGTTGTAAAAGTAACCGCTGCTGCCACCCCCTCAGGTGCCGCAAAAATGCACGACATGTTCAGAGACCAAGCCCGCCCCTCACACTGCTTTTGGAACATGTGCTGGTACCAGGTGGTGTCATGCCTGTCATAAAACAGTGTAACATGAGGTGGGTCAGGGGGAGGGACATAAGGATGTAGGAGTGAGAGCCACGGCCGCCATTGCTGAAAAGCAGTCCAAATTCCTGGTTCAGCAGGTGTTTCAACTTCCAATAGTCATTATTCCACCAGAGATATTAAGTACCGGATATATGCCTGCTGAGGGAGGAGTTGAGGCAGAATAGGGAGGTGGCTGAGACCTATTTTTCTTCATGTGTGGTTTTGCAGTTTCCCATAAACACACCCAGTGATTAAATTTAGCTTTGCGGCCTGCGTGCTTATCTGCTTCCTTTCTGTGTCTCACCCCGCTCATCACACCTGCACCTGCTGCTGCTGAGTTGGCTTCTTCCTCTTTCTCTTTTGCCTGCATAGCCTTATTCTGCCAAATTATTCCCCAGTTACCACTACTCCCCTCGTTCTTTCCCTTTTCTTTCATTAACCTTTCAGCTGTTTTCCTCAATAACTCTTTCTGCTTTTTTGCTTCTTTAGGCTGGTGTGTGGAGTTGATGACTGTCTCAACACATGTTAATTGTTCTCCCAATGTGCTAAGAATAACACCGGGACCCCAACCATCATCATTAGTTTCTCTATCTAATTCTCCATCCATTTTACTGTCAATGGAGGAGTGTTCTTTTATTGATTTTAAAGGAGAATTTGGGCCAGCTGGGTTTCTGCCTCTGTTAGGCACTAACAGCTGGGGCGCTGCTTTAAAGGTGAGTCAGCACTGAAATATCCCTTCAGGTGTTACCAAGCTTCTACCAAACCGGAGTCTGGCGGGTAACCTTGCCTAGAGCTTCCTGATAGGGGTGCTAGTTGGTTGTCACCTTGTTCACACGTCTCATTCACACTTCATACATTACCTGCAGTCACTCATTACCCTCCTTATGTATGTAATAAATGTGTAAAAAAAAAATTCTATGTGTGGTGTATTATTTTAACCAAAAGAGGAACCTAGTTCCTTTAATTGTGTAATCTGTGAACAACGGAGAACCAAACTGTCCTGCCCAGTGTTCCACAGCAAGCATTCAGCGTGTATTTATGTGTGTCAAATATCAAACAGAACATCAAAACATTTAAAACACTAAAATCATCGGGGTTTTAAGAAGAGATCCGTTTTCTCCTATTGATCAAAGGGACCCCTCCTTTGGACTCCAACCAGTACTTTTCCTTTTTAAGTTTTAGAGGATCTTTTCTAATAAAGTCCTCTGGGCCTTCCTAACCCTTCTGTAGTTTAGAGAATATTACTAAAAAATATTCTCAAGGCCTTTAACCTTTTAATTGTTTAGAAAGGCGTTACTAATAAACCCTTTCAAGGTCCCAGACCTGCACTGAGGTATGTATCCGACACCGGAGAGCAACCCGTCGGCTGCAACCGTGGTCAGACCTCAGTTCACTCTTATCTTTATTCACTTATTCACTTATTTCTTATTCACTTATCTCTTATTCACTTATTTCTTATTCACTTGTCTGATTCTCAACAAGCCTTAAGTAAGCCAGACAATTTTGGTTATGAATTACTAGGAGTTTGGACACTAAGTATTTTTATAATGTTCAATATAGCAGAAATAAAAGGTCTGCTTACCTTGTTTTTGTGTGTACACAACTTTTGTCCAAACTCCGTTCACTCAGACCACGGCCGAAGTCCTCCCATCCGTTCCAGTTGACCTGGAGCGGATCCTGTTCGTGACGCCAATTGAAGGATAAAAAAAAACAACAACATGCAATAGAATAATATTAAACACAAAGTGAACCCGTCTTCCTTCATTAAATAGGTTCTTTTAGATGTTAAGGAGGAATTGACTTAACCAGGCTGGCGGAGAATGAAGACAACCGGACACCTGCGGCAGATGGGGAATCAGTGAACTTTTATTGAGACAGAGACAACCTCTCAACACAGCTCACATCAGGAGATTCCGAAGATTTGCTGTGAGGATGGGTATATATTCTCTAAAACTTACAGGAGGGGGGAAAGTGCTGCACTAGCAGAAAAACAACTCCATAAAAGGAAATCGGCCTTGGGTGTTCTAGCCTCTTCGCTTGCAGATATCTTGCACCTGCAGGATGAGGCGATCGCTTCTTATCGCTCTCAAGGCCAAAGTCGTGAGCACATTTTTATTACACAGTTGCACAGTAACTTTAAAGCTGAACAATGTTTAAAGCTGAATAATGTTTAATCAGATTATATTTTCTTCAAACTCATCGGTTTACAACCATGATGTTTCCAGGTTTGAGGTCAGCGTGCACTATTCCCAAAGAACCCAGGTGGGACAGAGCATTTGTGAGTGACCTAAAATTGGCCTGACTTCGCTTATGGGGAGACCCTGGTTTTCCGGTCCCCTATATAGTCCCACAGGCATTGATCAAGGAGTTCGAACTTTAAGCAAACCCGCTCTCCGTCGTGGAAAAAGCCGTTCCATTTAACAATGTTGGCGGCATCTGGATCCAACCTTCGTCAGCTGCTCCAGGATGAAAATTTCCAGTTTTGCCTGTTGCAGAATATCAGGGCGGCTCTTGTTCACTTTAATAGCCACAGCTCGGTTAGGTCATGGTATCACGACATTTGGCTACAATACCAAAGCCCCCTTCTCCGAGGAAAGCCTCTACCTTGTAGTGCTTTCCCAAAATGCTCCCTTTAACTATCCAAGCTCATTTGAGCTGGAAGGATGGGTGAGCTGACATGGTGAAATGTGTCGGCTTGGTCAGTGAATTGCTAAGTAACGTAAACAATTAAGCAAATACAAGTAATCTGCAATAAATTACAGGTAGTAAGGAAATACACCACTAACTCTTTTACGGTAGGTCCACACCTACACGGGTATTTTTTAAAACGCAGCTGTTTCGTCCACACGTAAACGGCGTTTCGAATCACCGAAAACGGAGATTTTTTTTAAAACTCCTTTTTTGCGTTTACATGTGGACGAGGAATACCGAGTTGGTCAGGCAACATTACGCTGTGCACCATGTTATTGTTTACATGAGATGAATTGCAGAATGACAGATTAACAGTATTTTGTCTCTATCTTCAGGTTATACACGCTTACTTATACTGTCCCTCTATTTAGAAAGGCAGAGGCATCATGGTGTAAATATATGTAGTTGTTTTTTTCCTGTGTAATAATATTCAACATTGCTATCAATACATTTTTCAAAAAATGCCTCTGTTGAGCTCGAAGAGTTTTCTTCTTCTTCTTCGGCCATGTTCTCTCAATAATGCACACCCTTTGTTTGTTGTTTACTTTTCCCGTTTCTTTTATTGACAGCAACACCGGAGGGAAAACCATACATTCATTTTTAGCAGTTCGCACTTCACAACATACGGAACAGGAAGTGAAGTCACCTATAATCACCAAAATAAAATCATTTCCAAAATAAAATGACAATCAGAAAACAGTTTTTACAACATAAGATAAATTAATATATTTACTCGTGAGAACACAAATCTAACAGCCTCTCTGTGCAAAAGGGGTTTAAAAACTTAAACAACTGTGGGATACTGTTAGTCCGTGATTTTGACAGGGGGAACAAATTGTGGCAGGATCAGCCTAATATTATTTGTGTCCCACTGTAACTTTACTGTATAAAGAGCTAACATCTCCAAAATGTCAGGAGTAGTTAGTCATTACAACAAGTGTTTGTGAACTAAAAATCAAGAATGTGGGATACTGTTTGTCCCCCAGTGCATGTTCCCGACTAAGGGAAAACCAATTATGCAGGAGAGACCTACCTTGGCACTTGTGCAGGTGAAACCAAAGGGAAAATATGCTTCACCATATCTTCTAGTCTTTGGCTTAGAATGAAGTTGGTTTGGAAACATATTCAGCTATGCTTCATCTCCTGCTTTGCGTTTGTGTGGGTGCCCCGTGCTAGCAGTGTCCAAGCATTGTTTTGTTTTTTTCTTCCCCTTGGCATACCGCACCCCGCAATGGCTCTGCGCCCCCCCTAGGGGGCAGGCCCCACACTTTGGGAAGGTTTGCGTTAGCACATGATTCTCCTTATGGGGACCTGATATGTTTAATATGCTGCTGAGAGTATACCCCAGAAGAAGCGTATAGTATAGCTTTTATTTCGGAAAGAGCCATTTCTCTGTAATAAGCTCTCTTTTCCAAAGATGAGTGATTTCTCGATCAGATTTTCTTTATTATTGTTTTGTTGTTTCAGCAACATTAAATTTAAAAACTGTACTTCTGAGTTAAAATATATATTTATAATTTTAATAAATAACAAATTAAAAAGGCAATATATCGAACCGTGACACCAAAGTATCAAACCGAACCGTGAATTTTGTGTATCGTTGCACCCCTATATATAAAGAAAAGATCGAAAATCACATTCTCAAAACATTTACAGATCATGAAAAGCATGAAACGTAAGCACAGTTTTAACAATACGTCTTCAACTTTCCAGAGTCAGTTCTCTGTCATCACAAAGAAACACTGCTGCTGTAAATCAAAGGAAGCTGTTGCCTTCTTGGCCTGACCATCTTGCTTTGGTGTGGTGCAGGGGTGAGTCTAGGATCAGAGCTTTGGGGGTGCTTAGCACCCAGAGAGCTGCCCAGCCAGGCAAGATAAACTTTACTCGTCACGATGAGACTTCTTCCCTGTCTCTGTGAGTCCCTGGATCCTTAAATGCCTCCAGTTGTCCCGAGTTCCCTCTGACTGTCTCCTTGGTGCATTTAAACCCCTGTTCCTCCCTGTCCTCATCGTCTGTTGTCTTCATCTCCATTATCAGTCATCATAATTTTACCATCTCTGTGCAAATCTGCAAATTTCTTTATTAGATCATGAGATTCTTAAATTTATCAAGTCTCTCTGTGCCTGGGTCCTCGTCTCAAAACATGACAGCATTGTTTTGTACATTTTAACACAATCCCCACATTTGTGAAAGAAAAGAAAAGCACTTTTTTTAAAGTCTGTAACAAAACCATCAAATCTGATAAAGGTTATTTAAATGCTGCAAAAGAAGAATGGATTGGAATAAAAAAAAATACATATGGTAACCTTAATTACTCGGGGGCATGATGAATGATGATCATAGTGAGTAAGAAGTAAACTGAGTGCATTTACTCGACAGAGATTCACTTTTAATATGTATGCATAATATAATACAGATACATAAAAATACACTCCAAAAACAGAGTCCTTGAAATGTACAAATGTACAAAATATTGATAAAAACACTATAAAATGGAGGCAACTTTGCCTATGGTACAATGTATACAATGTATGAAAAGATCTTTACTAAAGATACTACTATGGCTCTGCAGATTTTTTTCTTTTATTTTAACCTATGTCACCTCACCTTGAGATTGGCAAATCACTTTTGCTGGTCAACTCTCTCAAGCAGTTTAACGGTTTCGGTTTTGCCTGTCACTATTCCCTGTCTGTTTTCTTACCTGGTTCTTCATGACCTTGTATTTTCTCCTCATGTTCCCCTCTTTCCTCCTCTCTCTCTCTCTGGACTAACAATCATACAAAAATAGATTGTATTCAATTGGATGAAAAAATTACATTAATATGAAAAAAAAAATACTATTAAGACCACTAATAAAAAGTCCTCTCTCAGTGTACTTTCAAACAAAAGGCAAATAACCAAACCACATGTACATCAAATAAAAGATATAAATATTGAAACACTGATCCAACATCATCCTTTATTGACGGATCATTTCTTACACTTTTACCTGAATGTGGCTCCTGGGTTTAATATCGGAACATATGACAAAATAACCGGCTTCTCTCATTCCATTTCAAACAGGACAGTGGTAACAACAGCAGGCTACGGACAATTTTAAGTTTTAGATTTTAAATAGGCTTTATAAATGTCAATAGGAGCAACAGGACGGTCAAATGTCGCTGATTTTACTACACAGGACGGATTGTAGGGTAGCAAACATTGTCGGAAAACACGTTTTCAACACTGCAGGTTACCTGGGTGTAATGTTTTTCAGCTAAAAAGAAACATGGTCTGACTCCTACCTAACTATATAAAGAGTAACTGAAGGTTAAATGCAGCTACTATGTCCTGTTTTATGCCAGGCACTCATACCACCGCTCGTCTCAGCCACCATCGCTCTGGCAGAAAGGGCGCTAGAGCCAGAGCAGGGGAGAGGCGAGCTGGAATAAACCATTTTGGGAGGGGGGGTATCACCCCGAAAAAGGGGCTAATATCGCCCCTGGTGTGGTGTGAAAAGCCAGGAGTGAAAAGGAGGCTGTAAAAGGCTGTGATCCATTAATAACTTGCAGCACAATGCTTCGTACAGTGAAATTGTCAAATATCATACTTTCCTTTTCTGTGATTTCTACTCCCTTTAAACCCATCCTGTGGGCCAGAAAGGATTTTTAGGAAAGCTATTTTATGTCCCACAGGCCACTTTCACATCCCCATTACATCATAAACTTTTCCTTGATAAATTATATCAAGGAAAATGGTATTACATGAATTTCTTCACGATAAGAAACCAGCTGCTCTATAGAAAGGTTCAACAGCATTCAACAGAGTACATGCTTACCACTATTTTTATTTCACACTGTAATCCTTGAAGTGGATGCCGTAGGCAGTAGGTTTACACAATGGCAGCTACAGGAGAGCTCCTTATTCAAAGGTATGTGCAGCTGGTCATTGTCAAGAACAGCCCACCAGTTTAAAGGAGCTCCAAACCGTAAGATCCATGTCTACCAAAGGCTTTGAGCAGTTGCATAAGCTGCATTGTTTCCTTCCAGACAAAGCAACTGCATCACTGCATCTCATCCACTTGTTAGCCTCCCATGACGATGCATGTATGCAGAATAGCATGGAATGCATCCTGACATGCATGTTTGGTTAATGTACTGTGTCATGATTCAATAACCAGTGTGCAGCTTAAGTAACATAATAGCTAGTTGAGTGCTGCCATCTTGTGGCATAGCTGTAAAAGCTCTCATCTGTCTCTTACAGTGTTAACAGTAATTATCGATGAGCACCAGTCCTCACTATATGGATTAAAACAGACACGGTAGAGGTGGGACATTGAGGAGACTACAGCTTTACCAAGTGCGTATTTGTTTTCATTTTTCATATTGATTTTTGCATACATAGCAGAAGAGACATGGAGTCTCAGACAGGTAACATGGGCTTTACACACAACAGTTTACATTCTTCTTGCCCAGTCTGTAAGTGATGAAGCTGTAAAGGCAAAATGTATTCTCATGTGCATCCAAT